CACTCTTTCATATTTATATAAATTTGTTGTCTAATTTCAACTCCCTCATTTAACAAAGGAACTGAACATAAATATTTTGTCTTGGTATATTTGTCATAAATTTATATAGGAAATTCATCATTAAATTTCTATAAATTTATATATGCAATATATAAAATTTATTAATTTATACAACACTCGGCTACTTAAATGACTCGAAACATATGCATGCTTGCATTGGCAGAAAAATTACTTAATTCGATACAAATCTTGATGTAATGTTTGAATTTTTATTTATTTATTTTTATTTTTTGAATTAAATAAATAATCATCCAAACTCTAATGTCAACAAACTGATTATTAAATGAAATGTCTTGAAAAGAAGGGTCCAACATCACTAAAATTATTCTAATCCAAGCCCAATCAAGCACTTGAAGCAATGTTTTAGAGACTTTCCAAAATAAATTAAGGAATCAAACAATTTTTAAATCTTGCATGCTTACAATCACAATGAATATGTTGATAAAATACATCCAACGAGGTCATGATCGCTTAATTTTAAGATCATTAATCTATTTAACTATTAAAAAAATAGTTGATAGTTAAGGGTTCATTGGATGAGAAAATATTCCGTCATGACATCACACTTCCGAACAACCAACCATCAACAATCATGTCGCCATAAATGTCATCGGCGGGCGACGTGATCGCCAGTGGTTGGCCGTCCGGACATGCGGGCGAGTAGATGGAATATTTTTTTCTCATTTGATAGTATTTAAAACTCACTAAACTTAACATATCACTAGTCTAGAAAATTGTTAAAGTATACCTTATTCCTAGCATGAAAAGATATAAACTTTAAGAAAATATAACTATAGTAGCACACAAATCAATGCCCAATCACCATAGCTCATCTCTTATTTCCTAACTTATATAATCAAATTATATTCACTCAATTGCTATCAATTGAAGAAAATCATCGCCCTTCAATATTGCCCAAACATTCTCCATCAAATTTAAATGAGATTAAAGTTCGTGATTTTATATTTTGTTAATTTAGGGGTAGATCATCCATGTGCTCACTCATGGATTTTGTAGAGTAGTGGCACATTGATTGTGATCATCATGGCATTGACAGCCATTGTTCGAGTTTAATTAGTGTGTTATTGGTGTGATGTAGCTGCCTGCGGTCACATCAGTTCGACGTTGTGCTAGAATTTATCTTTTGTGAATCGCGTCGTGTTTGTTATTGTGTTTGGGGAAGCATGAGATGAGTGAGATGACGATTCATCATCATTTTTACATGGATTCTTGCGCGTGGTGTTTCATTTTTCATGAAATATTTACCCAAGTAATTTTTTTCATTGATGTATCGTTTCATGAAAAGGATTGCTAGAACACATTTGGATCATCAAGATGGTTTAGATAAGTCTATTCATGTCCAAATTAGACCTTATTTCATGTGCGTAGAGGCAACAAATAGCTATTGTTGTTTGAATAATAAATAAATTTAATATATATATATATATATATATTATATTTGGTATGTTTTTCATGATATTGGTAGCAATAAATCTCCTGTAAAAATAATTATTACTCTATATCCTTTAAAAAGGCTTGCCATATTATTGGTGATACTTGTTTTAAGACTCAGTTATTTCTTTAAAATTGTTATATTGCCTCATTAAATTAATCATTCTGCCATTACTCTTATTGCAAAGTATTATGGTGCTAAAATTTTTATTGATTTTAGACGTATGTCTCTTTATAAGACGCTTTATAAAGTCATTTCTATTCTTCTTGCTAATACGCTTAAAATTATTCTTACTAACATTATTCATCATGTTTAGTCTGCTATTATCCATGTATGTTATATTAATGAAGTAATATTTAATTTTCATTCTAATAATTCTTTATATAAGTTTTGTTCCAAAGCTGATATTAGAAAAGCATTTGATAGTGTTAGTAAATTCTTCCTTTCTAGTGTAATACAAAAAATTGTTTTTTTTCCTATTAGTTGGATTAAGTCTTGTATTACTAATGTTCATTTCTTTGTTACTTTCAATGGAGTGATGAATGATTACTTTTCTTCTTTTGGTGGTTTTTGTTTGGGTTGTCTCATTTCTCCTTATTTTTTTGTCATTATTATGGGTTATTTTTCTTCTTTTTTAGATGTTTTGAATCATATGTTAATGGATCAACTTAATGTTAACATATCTCATTCAATTTGTGTCAGTGATTTATTGATCTTTGTTAAGGCTTGAATAGGTTCTAATCAATCTCTCATGGATAATATTAATATTTTTAGTCGTTTTTCCAATTTGATCATTAACTATTATAAACATGTCGTCTACCTTTCAAAGTATATTACACTTTTTATCCATAATTACTTATGTAAAATTAGTGGTTTTTATTTCAAGCCTCTTTCTTATACCAATCTCGTAGTTACAATTAATGCTTCAAAGTAAAATGTTATTGATTGACAATATATTATGGATAAGCTTTATGGATGGTTGGATGGATGGAAACAAGAAGTTTTAATTTCTAATAGTAGATTTTAACTTATTAAAACTAAAATTTGAATCTATTTATATTGGTTTCGTTCTACGGTATTGCCTCAGAGTATTAAGAGGAAAGTCTCTTTTATATTTAAAAATTTACTTTTCATAATAACAGTGATAGAAAGATGATTATTATTGGTTGGAATACTAGTCTGCTTTCAAAACCTTATGATGGTATGGGGATTCCTTTTTTAGATAATATTAACTTCATGTGCAAACTTAAAAGTTTTTGGAGACATATAAATCAAAGTCCTTTTAGGCTAATTGGTGTAGTTCACATTATTGTTTTCTTTGGGTTAGTTCGATTTCTCATATTTCTACTAACATTTTGGAAAGGTCTTATTAAGATGATTGTTAGCATTAGAAGATATTTGTCTTTTAAAGTTACTTGTAGTAGTATTCATCTATTCTAATATGATCCTTAGCTATATAGTTTTTATCTTTTTGAAAAATTTTGTAAGTTAGTTTTTAGTTGGTTCGCTACCTTAAGGATATTTTGCTTAAAGATTTTATCGTGAATAGTAATTTGGAGTTACATTTTCTAAATGTTGCTCCTATTGATTGTGTAGATTTTATTTATAGTGTTTCAATTATTGAGGATAAGATAATTTTTCATTGGAGAGAAACTGATCATTTTTCTTTTAATTATTTTATTATTTATTATGTAGTTATGGTGGTAATTTTTTGAATGTCTTCATAATCTATGTTTATTATTTTTGGGCATAATTGTTAGTTGTGTGGTGTTGTATCCCCTAATTATCGAGGACACTTTTAATTACAGATACAATCCATTTTATGAGGATTCAAGCACACTTTTCTTAGCTCAGGTTCCCTTTTTATTTTCTTCCTAAGTTTCTTCTCCAATTTGTATTTATTTGAGTATTCAGTTTTTTGTTTTATTTAAGGAATTATCCTTATTTTGGGTCAGTTGTTTTCAGTCTTCTCTTCTTTTATATTCAAAACTAATCCTACCCTTGACTCTTTCTGAGTTTCAATTTGATATTTTTTAACTTATTTGATTTCACATATTTTATCAGATCTAAGCATTTAAGATTACATATATGCTTAACTTTATTTTATTTAAAGATTGGTAGTCTGGCTCAACTATCATGAATTCTAACCGTGCATTAAAATTCTAACATACATTTGATTATTTGGATCCTTGATATAAGTTATTCATAATGTCTGGATGAAATTTTATACTGAAATTTCTCTCTCCCACTTTCTCTCTTGATTCTCTCTATCTCCATTTCCTCTCTCTTGAAATTTTGCCGAAAAAACCCCTACCATCCTTTTTGCTTCCATCTGGACAGAAAAGAATGGAGGGAAATCTGAATTGTTGCAAATAGTTAATTTTGCACAAGCCCATCTCCTGTGTTCTCTCTCTTTTTTCTTACCCCCCTCTCTCTCTCCCTCTCTCTCTCTCTCTCTCTCTCTCTCTCTCTCTCTCTCTCTATCTATCTATCTATCTATCTATATATCTCTCTCTTCCTTCGTCCCACCAACAAGTTATTCCCACTGACCTTCGTAGCTCTGCCTCAAACTGATAGCCTGCTCCAAACCAACGGTCTAATCCTAAGCAGCCGCCTTTGAACATTTTTATTTGAAGGTATAAATATGTTCTCCTTGAATCCCATTATTCAAAATTCTTCGTTAAAAATTGTGGTGAAATTAAACTAGTGTTTCATATTTTTTGAATTTGTATTTCTCAAGTTTTACAAATTGACTTGATGACGCCAAACTTCTTTTGCATGTTGAGCTCAAATCTTCCATGTGAATGTTCGCATCAAATTAGTATGAATTACTTATGTGCATGCATTATAATTAATTTGTTGATCAACTACATTTTGCATTTTAAAATAAATAAATTTTAGAAATTGCAATATAATTTTTTATATCATAATCTCCTTTATGATTTCTAATGTTATTTATCTCAATTAAGATGAGTAGCATTTCATACTTTCATTTTTTATAATTTTATTTCTTTTGTCAGCATTTTATAATTATCTAATTGATGTGATCATGAGCACGCATAAATCAATATCAAACATTGTTTGTTTGTTGATTTCATAAACAATATAGCATTGCATGTTGGTTTAATTTCATGATCAATGTCCTTTATATTAATTAGCTTGCTTGTATAGTCATCATCATGCACGTCCACATTTATATGCATATGTCATGATGTTATATTACACTAGATTTCTTTTATGTGATCTCTATTATATTTCTTGTGAGGGAGTTATGACATGTCGCGTTTGATTTCTCGGTGTCCCCTGACTTCTATTCAAGTCAATCGTTCGACCAGACATGTAAATGCGTTCAGGTTGGCTCTAATTGATCCAGGTTGCCATCGTCTCTTGTTGAGGTAGTTTAAGTATAAGTAAGCTAATCTAGTCATTTGATGATAGAAACGCATATAGTCATTTATGTCTTTGGTCTAGTCAATTGACATCCTTAGATTATCCTAGCTATGAACTTTGTAGAAACTATCATACATAGCCTTAGAATACCCTAGGCAATATTGAGCAAACCAATTATTCCACTATAGGACTGCATTAATAACCCTATTATAACCTCATAGACGTATCCTATACCTTTGGTTTTAGTTTTAACAGGGCTAAGTGTAGACAACAGATATAGCACTTCACCTGAAATAGAGAAAATAGGATTACAAGATGTTAATATCATAAGTGGTCAGAAATAACCCAACAAATATAAATGTTAAGGGCCATTAAGACTATAATTGTTGCAACCTAATTATAATAGTCGTGGTGGGGTTATAATAAATGTACTTGGCTAAAAATGTGTAGTTGACTATAACAATCCTAGTTGATGTCTATGATATCCGTAGTAGAGCTAATAAAGCCACAATTAGAGGTCATAATAGCTATAGTTGGCTACAGAAGCCATAATTATAGTAGGCTAGTAGGGTGATCAAAATTGTAATTAGTTCTTATCTGCAACAGCTCGTGATTAATACGATGACCTCCAGTGTTCAGTGGTTAGTTGCGACCTTTGGCGATCGATGATGAAGACAATCATTGAGACTTTAGGACTTACGATTTAATAGTCAACATACTATTTTAATTGACTATTAAAGCTTGACACTTAGTCACAAAGGATTATTTTCGGTTGCCCGAGATCACAGCCGATAACTACGGTTCATCGTTGATCATCAATCTGTAAGGCTCATCAGCAACCACCAGCCATTGCCAACTCACTATTCTAATATTTCGGAAATGCATTTTAGTCAATTTAACAAATTCCTAAAACATTCTATTGAACGGTCCATATTAATTCACTTGATCCATAATAATTTTTCAATATTTAAATGTCACAATAATATCTTGAACTTATTAAATTACTCCCATCAAGAATCTCAATTGAAATTTATTTATGTCAAATTATGAGATCATTTATTCTTCCAATTGATGCATTAAAGCCTTCAACAAAGCTTGCAGCATTTGATCTGGCTATATAGAGTCAGATTTAACTACTTTTTGTGTCATTAGATTCGTCTTCTCGAGATACACAGTTTGAATAAAAATTTCTCAAAATCTACACCCATATGATCTTGAATTTAGAATATTTGTTGCTCAAAATGCATCAAAATTTATGCTGATGATAAAAATTTATTGATGGCACATTAGTCTTAAAGCAATACATCACATCAATAAAATATTTAGAGGAAATCTTGAGTAGAGATCCAATTCCGTTGAAAATTGAAACTAAAATATGTCAAAAACGCGTACCACAATAGCATTTTCTAACTTTATTCAAATAAATGATACATTTAACAAACTTCCGAACGAAAATAGCATGAAGTAAAATAAAAGTTAACTCAGGCATAAGCTTTCACCGCCATTAATGTAACGGGTTAAAGCTAAAGCTACCATA